GTGCCAGCTCGTCTTGCACCCCAATCGGCATAGTTGCATAAGCCCGCCTGGTCAGGCTCAGAATATCACTTGCCAACGCCTTTAATGATTCCCCCTGAAGTCTCTTTTTGTTATTCAGTTCAATCCGCAGCATGTTGGGCTGTGCATCGCTGCCGAAACGGCCCCCCAATGCCTCCACTAGCGCACCGTAGTCGCCCCTCTCGTCCGGGGCTAGCGTTAGCAGGCATTCCGACGCCTCCTCTGCCAGGCTCAGGGCAAGCTGTAACCCTTTCGTCTCGTCAGACCACCTCCCGGCTCTAGCCAACAACTCGAATTGAGTGAAAAAAACTTCCCATTTACCTTGTCCATTGAACTTTGGAAGTTTAACCGCTACCGTGGCTAATGGCAATAGGGCGCTGCCATCTCTGTTTACATAAGGAGGCCCAGCCATTTCCGCACGCGGTGACATCGATATCTCCGTCGCCGTGACGTCTGTTCTGGTCGAGCGGTTTGAAGGAAAACCCGCCCGTTCTGCCATCTTGCTGACTGACAATTTAACTTCCGCCATGTGGCTCTCCAGCTCTTCTACAGCCGTCATCGCCTGACCCTCCCGACCGGGTACACCCGAGCCCACAACGGACACTTTGTCCGACTCTTCCTTAACTTTCCGCCTCGCCCCGATCATCATGACCGTAGATGCGAGTCACGCCAAAGCTAACCACGGCCTATACTGAAACAGCTAACTCGCCTAATCTCGATCTATCCCGTCGTTCGAAAGCACTTCTGACACCAATGTAATGACCCAGCTGGGTCATAAAGTAAAAGAGAGACGGGCACCAGGTGTACAGGCAGAACACAGGTTTATTCCTGAATGGGCTATTGTTCAGGCCACAGCCCACGCCGCTAAACCTCGAACATACACAAATATAACATGTCAAATCAAGGGTCCCGAACAGAAGAGAGAGAGATGAGACCGTAACCCCTATTTAAGCATTCCAAAACCCCGCGGGATTACCCATCATACCCCCCCAACCTTTCCATCTGTCCTGGCATATTTAACCCCTGCTAGCACCCATGAGAACGATAACACACCCATGAACACAGAACACAATACAGGGTCGTTACAATACTATACATTATCTCTTCGCCTAGCTGGATCTGGCCAGATAATTTCATCAACATCACAAGCAATATCCTCATTAGCAAGACAACGCGGGAAGAACCGTCTTGAATGTCGAATCCATCCTTGCACAGCTGCGGCGTCGACTTGGTCACAGGCGTCCTCCATGGCCTGAATGAGGGGTACCCGAGCCTGGGGCTGGAGATCGTAAACCTTCCACCGCCATGCAGAGAAAAACTATTCGATAGGGTTTAGAAACGGAGAGTATGGTGGAAGGTATAGTACTGTCAACTGTGGATGGTGTTGAAACCAGTTCTGGACCAAAGCAAAGCGGTGGAATGACACATTGTCCCAGATGACAGTGTATTGCATCTGGTGCATTTCATTACCTCCTGTGACGATGTGGTGCAATCGGTCCAAAAATGCGAGAATGTGAGGTGTGTTGTAAAGGCCCATTTTGGCATGACGGAGGAGAACCCCATGCTGTGAAATGGCAGCGCAAAGGGTGATGTTACCCCCACGTTGCCCTGGGACATTGATTATAGCCCTGTGGCCAATGATATTTCTGCCTCTCCTTCTTGCTTTTGTGAGGTTGAACCCTGCCTCATTAATATATATGAATTCATGCAGGATTTCCTCAGCATCCATCTGCAAAACTCTCTGAAATACAGTGAAAGACAAGATAGTGTAGTTCAGGATAGGTCTAGTATACAGTCAATGTAAAAAAGTAATGTGTGCAGTATGCAACATCACAGTGCTAAAGTGAACAATACAAACCTCCACATACTCATGCCGTAGCCGTTTGACCCTCTCTGAATTCCGCTCAAAAGGCACTCGATAAAGTTGTTTCATTTGAACCTGATGTCTTTTCAGGATGCGTGCCAGTGTTGACTGAGATACCTGATGGACATTATTGAAAATGGCATGGTCACCGATAATGTTGGCTTGTAGTTCTCTGAGCCTGATAGCATTATTGGCCAAAACCATGTTTATTATTTCTCTCTCTTGTTCTTGCCTGAATATGGGCCCCCTTCCTCCTTGTCGTTCCCGACCCTCAATCCTATGTAGAGAATAATACATGTAACTTACTGTACAATGTCACAGGAAGGGGTATCACAAGTGCTGATATGGTGCATACAATAAGCAGCTGATTACTGTAACTGTAGACAGATCTTCTTTTACCTGTTTTCCTGTCGAAAAGTCCTTATGACAGATGCCACTGTATATCTGCTAAGATTTGGCTGAACTCAGTCCAGCCTTCCTCAGCATCAATCCGTGGTTCACAACATGGTCCACTAGTGTTGCACGAATGTCATTTGATAAGTTTGGTCCTCTTCTTCTTTGTGCACGTTCTCCTCCTGCTTCAGGTCTTCTTCGACCTCTGGCTCGGCCTCTGCCTCTTCCTCTTCTTCCTCCTCCTCCTCCTCCCCCTCCTCCTCCTCCTCCTCCTCCTCTGTGTACTCCTCCTCTCACCCTCACTCTTCTTCTGACTCCTTCCATTTTGGTTGAAGGCAGGTGAACCTACCTGCTGCATTTTTATAGTGCTTAAACCTGATTGGTGTGTCTACAATTTAGCAATCATGTGTTTGTGCACCTGATGGCTGTGTTTAACAGATTGGCTCATAGGTGTGGTAATTTGACAGTCAGTGCTTTGGAATTGCAAGGAAGTGACATCATGATATACTTCTGTGTCTGATGTAAACAAGTGTGTTTAGTGTTTTGCAAATCACTGTGTGTAATGTTTTGCAAATAGTGTGAAGCTGACAATGTGCTTACAGTTGTGCAAATCTAGCCTTGTGTTTTGCTCTTTGAGTGTAAGGTTTTGCTAATTGTGGGAAAAGTTAAATTTTAGTGTGTAAGCAATCGTAAAAAACTGTAATTAAGTCAGAATGTCACATAGCAGTCTCATTAACCTATGCAGTGTGTCTGACAACACTATAGGAGAGGCTACTCGGCGCTTGTAACGCCAAGGTAGTGGGTTCGATCCCCGGGACCACCCATACACAAAAATGTATGCACGCATAACTGTAAGTCGCTTTGGATAAAAGTGTCTGCTAAATGGCATATTATTATATTATTACAGCTGTGGAAGGATAGTGAAAACCTGAGATTGCGTTCCAAATGAAACCCTATTGCCTTTATAGGGCTCTGGTCAAAAGTAGTGCACTTTATTTGGAATAGGGTGCCATTTGGGACATATACTGAGACCCTTTGCCCAGTAGTGTCATCTCAACATGTATGAGATGAACATGAACATACTATTGGCTCCCTCCATCTACATTTCTGTATGTGTGGTGAGAAAGAGAAGGAGAGACATACAAATCCAGGTTAACACTCAGATTGTCATTTTCGAGAACAGTGATCAGAACGTCCACTCCAAGAAATCATCTAAGTAATAGATTGTATTGATCTTTGGACTAGGACAAATCCTCACATATCCACTGTACTGCACATCAGGAATGTGATTAAAAGAAATCAGCTAAAATGGCATCGTTTTTATAATTACAGCATTTATCATTATTTCATGATAGATCATATATTGACTATAAGACAGTAGCATGTTCTACTCACATATAGGGAATTACTTTCTGCTGTTGTTGAATTTCACTATTACGGTGTGAGGCAGGCTGTCCTAATATGGACACCGTTCACTATAGGAATTTCTTAGTTGACTGAGGAAACCTTGCTTGCAGGATGATTAAGTGTTTACTGGACTCAAGGTCTAAATCATTTCCGTTTGTGCCATGGTGTTTTTGTTAATGAGACTGATCATAAATTGTGGCCTACACAAAGAGTGGGCAGAGGTCCACCATTGATCTTCTCTGGTTTCCCCAGTCTAGAATGGCAGCTTTCCTGCAGCCAGTTCCAATGACCAATTATTTGCTGCTAACTGATGGGGTTTGTTTAGTGGGGGTGCTGGTGGATCAGATTCAACAGGATATGAAAAGGTATGGAAACACTATCAGTATATGGTCTGATGGGATTGAAAACATAAGAAATTGCTACTTGCTTGAAAGTCATGCTGCTAAGGCCTAACTGTAAGTCTGGATAAGAGCGTCTGCTAAATGACTAAAATGTAAATGTAAAATTTAAGGCTGTGATTCAATCCGATCAGCAGTAGATCCGCTTAATAGCGCAGTTGACATTTTAAAGGTAATTTCCGATTGAGCCAACATTTGCAGCATTTACCATGAATAACCGTGGGTAGTGTAATTTGCTTGCTTGACAGATGAAAATGTTGGAAATGACATCAGTTTGAACAGGTACAGAGAAGGTTCCACTGTTTACAACGATTATGCATCGATGTTCCACTTTACATTTGTTGCAGGGCTGAGGCAGAGAACAGAGTAGCAGGGAGTTTCTCTCGCCCGTAAAAACAAGTCTGACAAAATCTGTTTTTCTCAACTTTACATCAGTGCCTAATGGAAAAGGCATCAATCAACCTGGGGATCGTGGGTTCAAGTCCCACCTGGGTTGATTAGAATCTGCTTGTTTTTCATTGAGTATACCGTTAATCAATGGCACATTACTGTGGAGTACTTTGCACAGATCATTATCCCCATCCTTGACGTAACGTTGCTTGCTCACATTAATTTAAATGCATGTGGCTAGCTTTCATTACTGTCAATAGGAAATTCCTATTGGATCACAATAATAAGGCATAGGGAAATGTTTTACTATCACATGGGTCCTAGAGAACTGACATTTGGAACCCCTTTTCCAGATCATGACTACACTGCCACCACTGTACTTCACAAAATACAAATTTGTACATTGTATTTTGTAAGCAAATTAAGCACGTCAAGCTGTAAATCAAAGCTTTATTAGCGTAAATAAAAAAATATGTAGTATATTATTCCAATGACTCAAAATGATTTAGACAATCAGTGCTGTGTGCGAGTCAGGACTGTGAGACGTAGGTAGAGGTGTCCTCCAGGCCTGAGCAGTCGTTGTCCAGGTACTCTAGGATCACGTTGCCCCCATTGTAGAGGGGCAAGTCTGGGTGAGCCAGCAGGGAGAGAAGGGTGTCATCCATCTTGAGAGCTTCGCCCGTCTGGGGGTGGCACAGCCGCAGCTTCTACACGTCAACAACAACACCACAGGGGGAGGAAAAATTAGGTTTTTAGTAAGAGTTTTTAAAAGAGAGGTATCTTAGAGACAAGACAGACCAACACGAAAGTTTGCCATGCGAAGTAGATCACCTGCTGGGTGTCGACAAATGGTGGTGATTGAAAATGTAGAATCAAAGGGAAACAAACAGAAAATGGTGGCCGATGTTCTGTGGTCAGTGGCGATAGGATGGCCAGCCACTGTGCACTGCCGACGTTCGTGTTGGTATGTTTCGTCTCTAATATTTGTATAATGATAATGGTAGAATAGGTTTTTCTGCTTGGAGACAGCTTGTGGTAGCTTTGTTACCTTTGCTGTTAATACATTGTTCTAAGATGTTTTAAAAGAGAGGTTTCTATAATTTGTATGCCGACAGAGGTACAATAGGTTTGTCTGATTGGAACTTGCTGCTCGCGGCTGTTTTCTGTTACCTTAGCCGTTAGTACGTTGTTGTTGTTCTTGAGGCTGGCCAGTGAGGCAGCGTAGTCCACTACTTTCCCCACACTCCACTTGGAACAGAAAAACATGGGCAGGCTGGAGTCTTTGCCCTCTTTGGGAAGGAAGACACTGAAATAGATCCTCTCTGTCTGGAAAGCAAAGTTAGGGAGATGTAGACATGTATATCAAATAAAATGCAAAAGCCCATAAAAAAGACACTGATTCTTTATAGAATGATGACATACAGTATAAGTAGATGCTGTCGTTTACAACAGGGTTCCCAACCTTTTTACCATGACCCCCATTTTCAGTATCACTCCCTTTTTATTATTGTTTATTGACATAGCCTATATTAAACCAGCTTGAATTTGTTTAATGAGGGCCCTAAGAAAATGTTGTTTTGAAGCTCATTTCCTGAAATTCTACGTAGTTTAACAAGACTCATGACATCTTTTGGATAGGCTACTTAATAATAGATAACGAAAATGCATTCTAAACCCGATTTTCCCAAATGTTATTCCGCTACCAAATATGTTCTCAATTTAATTATACATATTATTTTACAGAAAGTGTCAATTGATAGCGACAGTCACATTGTATAAGATTACTTCCCAAGCAAATGTCTTTGACTCCTCAACTTTAGAAGGTCGTAGCGCAGCTTCTGAATATCATAGAGACAAACCAAAGATATTCCCATCAGAGTCAACTCTTCCTCTGGCATTTTACCGCTCCTCTCTAGCCTAAAGCATTGCAGAGATTTATGCATCATTTTAGATCGGTATAAACAACTGCAAATTGTAAACAAATATACAGTATCAGTCAAAAGTCTGGACACACCTACTCATTCCAGGGTTTTTCTTTATTTTTACTATTTTCTACATTGTAGAATAATAGTGAAGACATCAAAACTATGAAATAACACATATGGAATCATGTAGTAACCAAAAAAAAAGAGTTAAACAAATCAAAATATATTTTATATTTGAGATTCTTCAAAGTAGCCACCCTTTGCCTTGATGACAGCTTTGCACACTCTTGGCATTCTCTCAACCAGCTTCATGAGGTAGTCACCAGGAATGCATTTCAATTAACAGGTGTGCCTTCTTAAAAGTTAATTTGTGGAATGTATTTCCTTCTTAATGTGTTTGAGCCAATCAGTTGTGTTATGACAAGGTAGGGGGGGGGGGGGGGGGGGTATACAGAAGAAGATAGCCCTATTTGGTAAAAAAATACCAATTCCATAATATGGCAAGAACAGCTCAAATAAGCAAAGAGAAACAACAGTCCATCATTACTTTAAGACATGAAGGTCAGTCAATACGGAAAACTTCAAGAACTTTGAATGTTTTTTCAAGTGCAGTCGCAATAACCATCAAGCGCTATGATGAAACTGGCTCTCATGAGGACCGCCACAGGAATAAAAGACCCAGAGTTACCTCTGCTGCAGAGGATAAGTTCATTAGAGTTACCAGCCTCAGAAATTGCAGCCCAAATAAATGCTTCACAGAGTTCAAGTAACAGACACATCTCAACATCAACTGTTCAGAGGAGACTGTGAATCAGGCCTTCATGGTCAAATTGCTGCAAAGAAACCACTACTAAAGGACACCAATAATAAGAAGAGACCTGCTTGGGCCAAGAAACATGAGCAATGGACATTAGACCGGTGGAAATCTGTCCTTTGGTCTGGAGTCCAAATTGGAGATGTTTGGTTCCAACCGCTGTGTCCTTGTGAGACGCGGTGTGGGTGAACAGATGATCTCTGCATGTGTATTTCCCACCGTAAAGCATGGAGGAGGTGGTGTTAAGGTGTAGGGGTGCTTTGCTGGTGACACTGTCTGTGATTTATTTAGAATTCAAGGCACACTTAACCAGCATGGCTACCACAGCATTCTGCAGCGATACGCCATCCCATCTGGTTTGGGCTTAGTGGGACTATAATTTGTTTTTCAACAGGAAAATGACCCAACACACCTCCAGGCTGTGTAAGGGCTATTTTACCAAGAAGGAGAGTGATGGAGTGCTGCATCAGATGACCGGCCTCCACAATCCCCCCCACCTCAACCCAATTGAGATGGTTTGGGATGAGTCGGACCGCAGTGTGAAGGAAAAGCAGCCAACAAGTGCTCAGCATATGTGGGAACTCCTTCAAGACCGTTGGAAAAGCATTCCAGGTGAAGCTGGTTGAGGGAATGCCAAGAGTGTGCAAAGCTGTCAAGGCAAATTAATATATGTTGATTTGTTTAACACTTTTTTGTTTACTACATTATTTCATTTGTGTTATTTCAAAGTTTTGATGTCTTCACTATACAATGTAAAAAATAGTAAAAATAAAGAAAAACCTGTGAATGAGTAGGTGTTTCCAAACTTTTGACTGGTAGTGTATATTCCCCCCTGCAAATCAAAGAAGTAGAAGTTGGGTTACTACCTCTTGACCCAACATAGTATGTGGCATTATATGTTATCACATCCCCACTTTAATAACACCTTCACAGTTCAAGTCCACACCCTCAGACACACTCTCTCAGTGGCTGAATCTCAAATTACACCCTATTCCCTAAATAGTGCACTACTTTTGAACAGAGCCCTTTGGGCCCTGGTCGAAAGTAGTCCACTATCTAGGGAATAGGTCAGACGCAATCACTCTGCATCTCGCTCCCCATCGCTCTTTATACCAGACTGGTAGTACCTGTGGCAGTCCCTTGTCTCCTGCAGCATGAAGCTTTAGTTTCATCAAAGCCACCTTGGCTGCTGTTGCAGCGTTCTTTGCTCCTTTGCGACCTTTCCTTGGAGGCAAAGCCTTCTTGGACTCTGTTCAGTCAAGAGGGTAGAACAACCCAACATTTGTGAACACCGTCCTCATGTGGACAGGCTAAAGAATTGCAGGGATAAGCATATCCTGTATGGCCATGGAGTTCATACAATTTATTTTGAGAAAGACTAAAGGAGGAGTCCCAAATGGCACCCTATTCCCTATATAGTGCACTACTTTTGACCACAGTCCTGTGAAAATAGGGAATAGGGTACCATTTGGGATAAACCCCAATAGACCCAGTAAAGGTTCATTCTTTGGTTTCTGATGAAAAGTTGTGACTGTGACTGACCTACAATCTTCTGCACCAGCTCTTGCGTGGCAGCCATGCGAGGCTTGGGCGTTTCCAGTTTCTCACACTTGTGGTCATCTTGGTGACGATGGCTGGAGAATAAAGACAATGGGGGTATGAGAGGAGCTTTGAACACACCCATCATCTACCTCTCTATCCTCTACTACAGGGGCTCTCAAAGTGGGTTCCGAGGTACTGCAGGGGGTCCACAGACAGATCTCATATATATATATATATATATATATATATATATATATATCTCATTTCATTTTTTTTTAAAGGAATATTTCAAAACAACATATTAAACTAATTTTGGCCAAGATGTCCCTGATAAATTTGCTATCACAAAAGGGTTCCCGGACCCAAAGTTTGAGAACCCCTGCTCTACTCCTCAACCAACACATCACCTAACACTGTAGTTTCAGTAGACCTGGACCCGTATTCATAAAGTGTCTCAGAATAGGAGTGCTGATCTAGGATCAGGTCACCCCTGTCCATACATTGTGAACTAAAAGGAAAAACAGATCATAGATCAGATCCTTCTGAGAAACTTTTTGAATATGGTGCCTGTTCTTGTTGGAGAGACCAGGGCAGACATGTCATCAAAGGGGGAAAAAACATGACACTTACGCCAAACAGAAATGTTTCTGACAGTGTGGACAAATGACTGGCAACAGTTCTTTCCCTTTGCACTCCTCAAATGTGCATGGGTAGCTCGTACTGCCACCAGACATCTGGACTGCTTTTTTAACGTCCACCTGAGAAAAACATTTTCAAATCATGACTGAATTCAAAATCATGAGAAAACTAGTTTGCCATTAAATCTCAACACTGAAGAAGCGTCCCACTTGGTCCCCTATTCCCTATATAGACCATTACTTTTGGGTCAAAATAGTAGGAAATAGGGTGCCATTTGGGACGCTGACAGAGTTTCTTACCACAGGACAAGCGTGCAAATCTCGACTTCTGTGTTCAAGGCTGGAAGGAAAGTAAAAAGACTTGTCTAGTAGTCAATCACATTCACACCCAAGAGCCATAGTGACTGAGTTTAGTTAAACACATATGCACAAGTCAGGCCGTCATTGTAAATAAGAATTTGTTCTTAATTGACTCGCCTGGATAAATAAAAGGTTAAGCAACAACAACACATTTGATCTTACCAGAAAACACCCCTGCAGGCATCACAAATGAATGGCAGAAAATCTAGAGAAGTTGGGATAGACAGAAGTAAAATACATTGACAACTTCAACATAATGTCAAAATCAAAGGCTCGCAGCAGTGATAGCAAAGATGGTGGATAAATGAATTTGCCCCACTCAGGATTTTAATTTTTTTAAGAAGTCAGTTCTGGTCTGCTTAACGGGATGGCTCTCCCAAATGCACCAATGCATTAGCAGCTGGGTCTGGTCTGCTTATTTCGCTGACATATATATATATATATATATATATGAACCAGAAAAAATTAGGGAGCGGGTTTTCTTGCTTCCTCTTCCTTCTCTGGAGATGGCTAGCTAGCCACTGCTAGTTCTAGCTGCACTTGCTGACTCTTAAGGATTCCAAAGAGACTGCTGGCTATCTAGCTAACAAAGCTTATGTGCTTCTAGCTACTTCTACAGAGAAATAAGAGCTCGAGCTCAAGTAAATTGGCTACGCTTACAAATTGACTAAGTATTCTTAACTAGCTAGCAAGCAGCTAAATGTTGTCAACAGCTTGCAAGTTAGTTAGCCCTACAGTGGTTAGCATTATCATAGCCATGTAGCTAGTTAACCAGTTAGCAAGCTGTTAAAACAAACGGTAGCTACAAATACAATAACACAACATTTAACGTTAAGCAACATAGTTAATGCTGTCGATCACATAATTCTAGTTTTAAAAAATAATTAAGAAAACCTGTTTGATTGCAGGACTTGATGTTACAATGTTTCCCAATGTCTAGTTCAGCCATGATTCTTCTTCTTCTTCTTTGGTATAATGGCGTTCGTAACAATTATATGTGCATTCTGCCACCTACTGTATAGGTGGATAATAAGGATCCAAAAAGGAAAAAAATTAATACAAACAATCCCATACAAACTATCAGGTAACGAAATGTTAATTAAACTAAAATCAGCCTGCTTTTCTGTTTTAATCAGGTCGCTACACAAAAAAAAAAACATTGTTAGTCATTTAGCAGACGCTCTTATCCAGAGCGACTTACAGTTAGTGCATTCATACTAGCCCCCGTGGGAATCGAACCCACAACCCTGGCGTTGCAAACGCCATGCTCTACCACATGAGCTACATCCCTGCCGGCCATTCCCTTCCCCTACCCTGGACGATGCTGGGCCAATTGTGCGCCGCCCCATGGGTCTCCCGGTCACCCGGTCGCGGCCGGCTACGACAGAGCCTGGCTCAGAAGGATCCTGTGATGGCGAAACATTTCCTGGCGACAGTAGTCCTTGCAGTGCTTCTGCCGTGAAGTCTTGGAGGCCCAAAAACGTATCGGCCGCAGATATGATGTCCAGCTTCTTGGACTTCTCATGATGATGATGACGATTCTTCTTCTTCTGTGGGTTTTATGGCGGACTACATCCAAAAGTTGTATTGCAGCCACCAACTGGACGGTATGAAACCAAAAATACAATTAAAATAAATCCATACTTAACAGTGATTCTAACAATCCACCCTAATAAAAATAGTACATTGCCAAAACAAACAAAACTCCCACTTCTTCCTTTTAGTTCTCCATATCTCCCTTCTCATGCTCTAGGACCTGAGAAGGTGGTACGGCTTTTGCTAATATTCCATGTAACTCCTTTGCTGTGAAATCTTTCAACCCCAGGAACCGCTCCGCTACAATCACAATGATTTAAATCTTCTTAGATCTTTTCTCCACCTTGGAGAAAGGCCACAAAGTCCACCTTTTTAACCTTTAAAATGTCAGGATCATCTTGGTGTAAGACATCAACCCCTGCTGCCTGCAGTGAAGGCCTATCCACTACCAAATCAATTCACATTTTATTTGTCACATACACGTGTTTAGCAGATGTTATTGCGGGTGTAGTGAAATGCTTGTGCTTCTAGCTCCGACAGTGCAGTAATATCTAACAATTTCACAACATATACCCAATACACACAAATCTAAGTAAGGAATGGAATTTAAGAATATATACATATATGGACAAGCAATGACAGAGCGGCATGGACTAAGAAACAGTAGAACATAATAGAATACAGCATATACATATGAGATGAGTAATGCAAGATATGTCAACATTATTAAAGTGACTTGTGTTCCATTTCTTAATGTGGCCAGTGATTTCAATAGGCAGCAGCAGCCTCTAATGTGCTACTGATGGCTATTTAACTGTCTGATGGCCTTGAGAGTGAAGCTGTTTTTCATTCTCTCGGTCCCATGGACTCTTCTGGTGCAACATTCAAACCCTCAACCCTTTTCACAGCTTCTGCATATGAAATGCTCTGTACAACCCTGACTTTGGCCACCTCGTTCTCTTTTACCCTTGTGGGGCATTCATAAGACGTGGCTTCATGATTCCCACCGCAATTACAACATTTTCTTCAATTTTATAACACATAATATGATATTTCCCACATCTTGTACATCCTGGCTTCTCCCTTCTGCAAACACTTCCTACATGACCAAAAGCTTTACAATGTTCACACTGCATTGTTCTTGGGATAAATGCTGCAACTCTGTAGTTAATATACCCTAACCGCACTTAATTAGGGAGAGACTATTTCAAAAAACAAAAGAACATACAAACTCTTCAATTTTTCCACATTAACCACTCGATTCATCCGACGTGCTTCAATCACTCCAGGAATATGTTTTATCTCTTCCAAATCAACTTCCCACGAAACGCCAGATATAACCGCCTTAAAGGGTGCCCTGTTCCGAAGCGACACACACAACACTTCAAACTTATCAAATCGATTAAGACAACGCACGTTCCTTCTGATCCGCAGAATTACAAAAAATCAAAACAAGCCCGCCTCTCGTGATCCTCACATCCTTCACTTTACCCAGCACTCTCTCCACCAGTTTGGATAACTCAAATGGTTTATTCAAGCTTGGTACTCTGCTCAGCTGTTCCTTATTAACAAACCGTACTCCTACTAGATACAAAGGGTTATTCTCATCAATGTACCCTACTTTGCTCCGTTTTCCATTAGTTTGAACAATACTCAAATTCTCCTTGATTATACCGGTATTCTATCCCCACTTCATCATCCGCTTCCGCCATCTTCCGTGAATCTATTTCGTCTTCTTCTTCGTCTTCAGTGGGGTTTATCAGCGGTTGGCATCCAACGTTATGGTGCATTACCGCCACCTACTGTACTGGAGTGTGGGCCAGAGACAGGGAGAAACTAAATCCTACCTGCCAGCCCCGTTGCTCTTAAAAAATATAACAAAATATTTGAGACTATATCTAATGACGTTCTACTCAATATTCTCTTTAAACTAATTTCCTGTATCCCCTTCTCCCTCATACTAGATCTCACCCTCTCTCTTTCCCCCTGATACTGCCCACACTGTAGCAATACATGCTCCACGGTCTCTGTTTCCTGACAAGAATCACACTTTCCTGTTGGATGCTTTCCTATCACATTTAATGTCTTATTCAACTGGCTGTGTCCCAACCTTAATTTTGTAAAAATAGCCTCCTCTCTTCTGTCCCTTTCTGCCGTCCTCCCCTCCCCGACTTTCCTTTGTACTTGAAATAAATGCCTTCCCTTATTATCTCTATTCCACTGCTCCTGCCATCTCTGCACCATCACTGTATATATCAGTCTTTTTGCCTCTGCCTTGCTCATTGAAACTTCAACATCAACATCCCCACTACTAAGTGCTTGTTTAGCCTGTTCATCTACTGCCTCGTTCCCCTCCACCCCACACATGGGCTGGGATCCAAGTAAATATGATCTGTATACCCATCTGTTTAACCTTGCCATGGGTTTGTAGCACCTCATAAAGCAAGTATTGTCTGCTACGTGAGCTAAAGGAACTGGAGACTCATTAACACCGCACATGAATCAGAGCAAATAACTACTCTGTCTTGTTTGACTTCCTCCACCCACTGCAAGGCCAACAGTATGGCCATCAGCTCCGCCGTATATATAGCCAGATGATCTGTAATACGTTTCCTGACTTCCACCCCACATTCCTGCTTTACAAATGCTGACCCAGGACTAAACTCCCTTCCATACAGTCCCATCTCCTTTGCCTGGTTATTACTCACCCACCCAAAGCTTGTGTTCCGTCTTCGCTCATGTTCCCAGCATGCCTGTAAAATCACTTTCGCAGGATGAGACACCCCATGTCCTTGTAGGTTGACCCAATAATTCATTGCCAGCTGCTGTCTCCTAATCTGCAATGGCATATCACCCATCTCCACCTGTAATGCAGCCACAATTTACATCCTCCCTCCTATCCAGCACTCCAGGATGCTCCTCTCTCGTGTTTTTTTATTTTATTTTTATTTCACCTATATTTAACCAGGTAAGCCAGTTGAGAACAAGTTCTCATTTACAACTGCGACCTGGCCAAGATAAAGCAAAGCAGTGCGATAAAAACAACACAGAGTTACATATGGGGTAAAAAACATAAAGTCAAAAATACAACAGAAAATATATATACAGTGTGTGCAAATGTAGCAAGTTATGGAGGTAAGGCAATAAATAGGCTATAGTGCAAAATAATTACAATAGTATTAACACTGGAATGCTAGATGTGCAAGAGATTATGTGCAAATAGAGATACTGGGGTGCAAAAGAGCGAAATAAATAACAATATAGGGATGAGGTAGTTGGGTGGGCTAATTTCAGATGGGCTGTGTACAGGTGCAGTGATCGGTAAGGTGCTCTGACAACTGATGCTTAAAGTTAGTGAGGGAGATAAGAGTCTCCAGCTTCAGAGATTTTTGCAATTCGTTCCAGTCATTGGCAGCAGAGAACTGGAAGGAATGGCGGCCAAAGGAGGTGTTGGCTTTGGGAATGACCAGTGAGATATACCTGCTGGAGCGCAGACTACGGGTGGGTGCTGCTTTGGTGACCAATGAGCTAAGATAAGGCGGGGATTTGCCTAGCAGTGATTTATAGATGGCCTGGAGCCAGTGGGTTTGACGACGAACATGTAGTGAGGACCAGCCAACAAGAGCGTACAGGCCACAGTGGTGGGTAGCGTATGGGGCTTTGGAGACAAAACGGATGGCACTGTGATAGACTACATCCAATTTGCTGAGTAGAGTGTTGGAGGCTATTTTGTAAATGACATCGCCGAAGTCAAGGATCGGTAGGATAATCAGTTTTACGAGGGCATGTTTGGCAGCATGAGTGAAGGAGGCTTTGTTGCGAAATAGGAAGCCGATTCTAGATTTAACTTTGGATTGGAGATTCTTTATGTGAGTCTGGAAGGAGAGTTTACAGTCTAACCAGACACCTAGGTATTTGTAGTTGTCCACATACTCTAGGTCAGACCCGTCAAGAGTGGTGATTCTAGTCGGGTGGGCGGGTGCCAGCAGCGTTCGATTGAAAAGCATGCATTTAGTTTTACTAGTGTTTAAGAGCAGTTGGAGGCTACTGAAGGAGTGTTGTATGGCATTGAAGCTCGTTTGGAGGTTTGGAGGTTTGTTAACACAGTGTCTCCTCTGCACCCTCTGACAGATTTGCGGAGCTATGCACTTGGACAAATGCTTTGGCCATCATCTCTGCTTTCTCCTCATCTGTTACTGCCACATCCTCCCCACTCGTCAACACTGGATAATCCCACTCTCTTCTGACCCCACTCATCCTCTTAATCATCCCCCACACTTCTCCCACAGGTGTCGCCCTTCCAATGGTGTCACAGAACCGATGCAAACATGACCTCTTTGCCTGATGGATAGTTCTCCTCACCATGGCCTGGGCCTGCTTATACTGAATCAGATGTTGGAAATTATGCGTCCTTTTCAGTACTCTAAATGCCCTGTTCCTACTCCTCACCATTGCCCCACATTCCTCCGTCCACCATGGGACTGCTTTCCTCCTCCTCCTCCTCCCTGAACTCTTAGGTATAGCCTCAGTAGCTGCCCCCACTAACGCTGTTCTCACCCAGTTATTCATACTATCCACATCCCCTCTCATATCCTCATGATTCTTCTGGCGTCAACATCAACTTTTCAACTTTCACCACAGATGTAACAATGAGACAGACATTTCACCGGATGTATAAATGTGAAGCATCCGGTTGGTATTGCCGCTCACTAACAAATATGGTGGTGATAGGAAGTTCTGTGCCAGGCGGTAGGAGAAGATGGAGCGAGATGGTTTTGGCCGACATTCTGCTAATTTTCTCATCGATGAAACATTTGATCTCAATATAGTTTTCTGTTTCCCAAACTATAAATCTGTTACGAACAGAGTGGACAAAGATTTGTGGAATTCACCCTTTGCCAAAGTTTCAAAAAAATTGCGTTGTTTGGAAGGAGTGCAAGGGCGAATTGAGTTATTGCACACGCGCACATGACAGAGTGGGCGTTCCCTAACGGAAATATGCAAATATATACTAGAACGCGCCAATAGGCTCTCGCTAGCTCATGCTTGGCTCTGCCCACCTCCTTGCTTGTTCTGCCCACTATGATAATGCTCCCATTGGAAACAACAGGCTGTGGTCTATCTTTGGTTACTTATAAAATATATTTGATTTGACCCGGCAACGGACTGAATATAAATCAATCTCTGTCCATGATAAATTGATACGTTGTACTAACTAGTAATGATACATTTATGAGTGATACATTGTAAAAGGCCTACATTGTAGGTGAATTATTCCACTGTAAATTAATGATTATTGTGTTGATTATCTTGACATGCAATAATTAGATACATTTCCTATAGCCTAACCTTTATATTCAATCTTTTCTCATAGGGGCCTAGTTATTGATCTTACATTTTTTTTTTCTTCATAATAGCTAGGGCCTAGCCCTAGGCTATTGTGTAATTCATTATAAAAGCCTATTGCCAGCCACATGTGTCACATTTCAGGAAGCGTCACTCAGGTGTGTGGGATTGGCTGGCTGTTTTTGAATTGAAGCTGTCGGACTTGAATTGCAACCTGCACCTGGCGCCACTTTCTCCAGAGAAGTTGATCTAACGAGCTACATTTGAAAAGAATCTTTAACTGAATACAAAAAGTGACAAAATGTCCAAATTGTTCAAGGGAAGCTCAAGTTCGATCTCTTCAAGCCACTATCCAAGCTCTTCGAGATCGAAACATGGCCATCGCTCGCGGACAGGCCCTACCCCGCAGGACGCCATTCACAAACTTCGAGAAACAGAGGCGATGCTGGCGAAAAAACAAGACTTCTTGGAAAAGAAAATTGAACAAGAAATTATGATAGCAAAGAAGAATGGCCTCAAGAATAAACGTGGTATGTATTGTTGTGATATTGTCACGTTTGCATGATTTGGTTGGTCCATGTTGAATCACCTGAACCTAAATAATCTGTATCAATAGGAGACCGTCTTCTCAGGTGAAGTATCTTGTTCTTTTGTCAATACAGGGAACACCTAGAAACAGACAATAGTTTTGTCAGGGCTGCTTGCAGCCCAATCTTCTGTCATTAGGCTATCAGCTACTTTCTTTAATGACTCCTACCTAGGTCATACTAATTTGTGTCCATCTGTACCCCTTCTGCCATTGCTTTTTTTTCTTCACTACTAAAGATGCAGATGGCACTTCTATATGCTATTTAATAATCATCATAACCATATCCCCCCCCTGTACCTCTGTACCACCAGTGGCCCTCCAGGCACTGAAGAGGAAGAAGCGCTTTGAGCAGCAGCTCACACAGATTGACGGGACCCTCTCCACCATTGAGTTCCAAAGAGAGGCATTGGAGAATGCCAACACCAACACTGAGGTCCTGAAGACCATGGGCTACGCTGCCAAGGCCATCAAGGGGGTCCACCAGAACATGTGAGTGAATAAGGATAATAACCATTAAACAGTGGGTTTGCACCCCAAATGGCACCCTATTCCCTATTTGGTGCACTACTTTTGACCTTGGTCAAAAGTAGTGCACCAAATAGGGAATAGGGTGCCATTTGGGATGTAGCCATCAAACACTGGCCTTTCTCAAGATTGACTTTATTGCCAATTATATGCTCATAATTCTATTTCAACCTGAGTTTCAAAGTTATATCAGAAACAAAGAGGATCATATCTAACTAGGCCTACTGATGGACCTACTACTATTATACTATTCCTAAATCCTCTCTGTTTTCCTCCCAGGGATCTGGATAAGATTGAATCTCTGATGCAGGACATCACTGAGTCTCAGGAAGTTGCCCAGGAGATCTGTGATGCTATCTCCCGACCTTTCGGAGATTCATTTGATGAGGTAACCTATTTACTGCTCACCATTTCTCAAAAAATGCATCTTATTTCATCCTCTTAGCCTATTCACTTTGCCCAGTGGAGGATTGATTGATTTAGCTGCTTTATAGGCTACTTAGGTTTTGTGACTTCCTGATTGCCAAACATGTACAATACTGCATGCATCTCAATGGCTCACATTTGGATTATCCTGCAGGATGAGCTGTTGGCAGAGCTGGCAGAGTTGGAACAGGAGGAGCTGGAGGAGAGCATGAAGAACATGGGCAGAGTGCCCAGTGTGCCCGCCTCCAAACTGCCCTCATCTCGACCCAGCGAGCGCACCCGTAAGTACAGGACAAGGGCCTGCAGAATAATAAACTAGTTGAAGTGTATGCTAGTTTTTATAATACAGTCAGTGTTAAACCAATTTTCACCCTCCTGCTTTACAGCTTCCAAGAAGAGGGTAGAGGATCATGACGAAATGCAGATGCTGGCAGCCTGGGCAATGTAACTGTAACACACACATGCACACACACACACACACCAGACTCTAAAGGTACGAAGGTTCATTTGAATGTTTATCTTTTTGTTCTAATAATAATAGGGAAGAGCCAGTGATGTCGATTTTGTTGGATTGTTTGTTGTTATGTGTCTTGTACAAATCTGAAATATGGAAGTGTAGTATTGGAATGTGAGCTCTATGACTAGGTGATTTTATTACTGCTATATTGCACACTTTTCTGTCAATGAAGGATACAGTCGCTAGTGAAAGTCTACACACCCCTCTTCACATTTTGCTGCCTTAAAATTAAAGGGATAGTTCACCCACTGAAAACAGTGCCAGGGAAACTAAACCAAAGCATGGATTGCTGTCATTGTGGTAGACGCATCATGTTATGGGAATGCTTGTTACCGGCAGAGACTGGGAAGTTTGTCAAGACCAAAAGGAATATGAAAGGAAATAAAAAGTTAGAGGAAAACCCTGCCACAGGCATCTGAATACCTAACCCTGGTATAGTTTTATTTTTCAGCGGGACAATTTCACAAATGTTGACGCCAAAGACGGACCAGAATGGCTTTCCAATAGGTGTTAAGTGTTCCTGAATGGTCCAGTCTTAGACCTGAGTTAAATCTGCTTGAAAATCAGTCAGGGTTTGAATATTGCTGTCCATCAATGACTCCCAACCAAATTTACTGAGCTTGAGCAATTTTGACAAAAAAATGTATAATTGTTGCCCTAAGATAAATTACAGCTGTGAATCATTATAAATAAGATTTTACCAATGTTTAACTCTGTGGTGTGAAGACATACACAATCAACACATCTTTGTTACATTTTTTATTAATGTGGAAAATGTTCTATAATTTTTCTTTCACTTTTAAAATGTGAAGACTGCAACTGGTGGGTAGACTTTCAATAGGCACTGTACTGTATGTCCCTTAAAAGGTGCTGGGTTAGAAAAATAGATAAGTGTTAGTGAATTATACTAAAGAATATGAGTGAAGCACTATTCTATGAATGTTACTTTTTGAGTTGGAGTTACAGAAATATCGTTTTTGTAAATATGAAGGATTTTGAAGATTTTAACAAAATAAAATTACCCCAAATTATTTGTCATTTTCAGGAAGTTGTGTTTTTTTTTTACTGCATCGTGCTCCAGTAATGTGACCACTGTCCAATGGGAGTATTATGGTAATGACAATAGTTGGTGAAATACCTACCAGTAAACTATAATCGAGGTTGGCTGCACTGTCCGCAGGAGGTTCCAAGGGGGCACCATAACACAAGTTTCACGCACACATGACCTGCTAAAATATTTATATATAGTCCCGCGCCGTCTGTCAACCAAGCAGGAAATCCTTCTCCAGCGGATTAATTGCGGAATACAATTTCAGAATAACGAAACACCGGCATGGAATCAGAGAAACCAGTGCAATCAACAGGTGGGTCTCCAAAAATATACGGTTTCTCAAGTCAATCGATACAACTAATCGAACAAAACCTTTTTAAAAAAGCGGTTATCGATAGTTCACGGAATGCTAACAGCTAGCTAGGTTAGCCAGTTTAACTCTGACCCGAATGTGACACGTTTCACTTTATACTTTACTGCCCCAGGCCCGGTCGCTATGTCAAATGTTAGAATAACTTGGTTGATACATAGCAAGACTCCTGTTTCAACCATAAATTGCCACACAGGAGATGATCAACGGGCTGGATTTTTTTGTTGGCACGGACTAACGAATGCAAGTCATTCGTTAGTCAATCTGCTATAGACATCAATGCACATGGGTAGGGCAGGCTAAATGACTTGGTTCTAAACTGTCTTTATTACATTTTCTATAAGGGATTTGAATTTGATACAAATTATTATGCATCACTAACTAACTAAAGAATCATAGCTGCGGGAAAAGGGGTGCCGAAGGTGGTGCTGCACCCCCTGATAAATAAATAAAAACCACAAAATTAGTGAACTAGTCTTTATTACTCCTGTATTAGTGTATACTCCTCAGGTGTGTGTTAAATAAACTGCTGAAACAGTATTAGCTAAAAAGTACTTGCTAATGACTTGTGATATTTGTACCCTCAGGAGAGGATGTGCCTGACCCAGAGGAGGAGGAGAAGAGGCTTGCGGCAGCAACCCGGGAAGCCAACCGTCTATCTGAGCTGCGGCTGGTGCTGTTGGGCTGGAGGTGGCCTGGGAAGAGCCTCACAGGCAACACCATCCTGGGCCGCGAGGAGTTCCGCCTAGAGCGGGCAGCCGAGTTCTGCGTCAAGCGTCAGACTGAGGTGGAGGGGCGCCAGGTGACAGTGATAGATACGCCGGGCTGGTTCTCGGCCCAGACCACGCCGCCCCTCTATCAGCAGGAGATGGTACGGGGAGCCTCCATGTGTGGGCCCCCTGGCCCCCACGCCTTCCTACTGGTCATCCCCGTGGGCATGTTTACCGAGGTGGACCGGGCCCGCATCGAGGAGCACCTGGCCCTGTTTGGGGAGCGTGTGTGGAGGCATACTATCCTAGTGTTCACTTGGGCTGAGGTGCTGAGGAACATGTCCATCGAGAGACACATCAAGCGGGAGGGGAAGGATCTGCAGTGGGTGCTGGAAAAGTGCAAGAGGAGGTACTTTGTCATCAATAACTGCATATTTGGGGAGCACCCCCAACTGAGGCGGCTCATGGAGAAGATAGAGAAGGTGGTAGCGGAGGAGGGCATCTATAACCCAGAGGAGGTGGAGGAGAAGGAGAAGAAACATTTGGACCAAAACCAAACCCAGAACCGGCAGCTTGGGGCAAGGCCCAAAGTGAACTCTGCCGTAGGATCGGCCAAACTGGACGTGGACCCACCACACAGTGAGTGGCAGCTTTACTGACAACTCAGACATAGTCTGGTACCAGGAAACAGCAGTCTCATAGGCTAAAGCTCAGACTGGGTGAAATGTATAATCTTTGCTCTTCACTCCAAAACATGTGAACTTGCATTACAGTTGTATTATTCCACTTACGGTAACTGTATTTGAATTACTCATGTAGTAGTCATGTACCAAATAGTGTGGAATTAGTTTCACTACCTCGCCCCTCAACCCCTTTTAAAATTTCTTCCTTCAGTTTCTAATTTTTTCTATGCTAACCATAACTATTCTCTCCTGTCTGCTTGCGTGGGATCAGAAAATAATCCATGAGGATTGTCCAGGACACGGCAATATTCCTCTCCAGTAATATCAATACTGCCATTAACTAGCCTAGATAGTTTCAAAAAGACATGACAATGATGGTTATTCCAATTATATTACATATAGATATGTACTAATCCATATATGTTATGTGTCCATTTTCAGATTCAGTGGATGGACTGACTGACTAAAGGAGAGATGGTGACCCACCACAGTACTCATTTAAGAGCTGCTGGATCTACAGCCATACATCACCCCAACCTCAAGGCCTGTATTCATAAATTGATCTATAATCAGTTTGCCTTTTAGATCATAAGGAATGAGACCGATGAGGGGGACCCTAATCCTAGATCAGCACTCCTACTCTGAGACAATTTATGAATACAGGCCAGATTATTTTAGAGTTTTAAGATTGAACAATTATTTATATCAGTGTGAGAGAGATTATCTGTTACTGGATGTAGGCTAACATTATGCTGTTCTGGCTGTTCGAGACTGTTACCTCCCACCTATGACAGTTCTGATGAAATATATCTATTTGAGGATTTGATTTTAACTGATTTGATTTGCACATGAAATGTAAAAAGAAATATGACCAAGAACAAGAAACCAATCACAGACATTCATACAGGGCGATGAAAGAAACCCTAAATGACTTCAGATGGCCAATGTGTACTAGTAGAGGCCCTCTATCTACCCTTTGCTCCATGAAAGGAGGATGATGGGAAAACTACTGTAGGAGACAAGTCTCTCTGAGGCTGGGACAGAGACAGGGAAGTCCCTATGATACTTCTTAACCAAATATTTACAGCACATACTAGACAGCAGGGCTCTACAGAGCAACCATTTTACTCTCATATGCGCATGTGTGTGAACTGATCAAGTATGAGCACATGTGCAACTTGTGATTTATAGGCCAAAAAAATAGCTGCTGTAGCCATTTTGAAAGTATTTGTTTGTTTTGTTTCATAGAGGTAGCTAATCACACAAAGAACTACGAATCCCATATAGCTATCCCACCTTGAGCAGCAACAGTGCCTGGGGGGGCTGTACGCACTGAGGGAAGTGCTGAACGATACATTTTTAAGAAGCGCACTGGTATAAAAGTTTGTCGAATTTACCTGAAAGTCTACTAAAGTGTGACTTTGCCCTCGTGTTTCTTGGCTGTTTACATCGTTTTGTTCACACGCTAGGTTGTTTTTTAATGTTAGTTGGAGCTTGCTCAACTGCTAGTGAAGAGACACGTCGGAGAATATCATCTCTCACAGACAGACATGTGAGTCCCACCGTTACAACAGTAAAGGCCCGCCCATCAAAGCGGCAGCTGAGCATTTGTCTCACCTAAGTTGTAATTGATTGAGCATGGAACACTCTAAAAACCTTTTATTCATCAACTTTTTTTGAACTCCTACATTTTTCGATTTAGGAGCACATGTTTGGGCGAGGTAGGCCGTCATTGTAAATAAGAATTTGTTCTTAACTGACTTGCCTAGTTAAATAAAGGTTAAATAAAAAATAAATAAAATAATAAAACGTGCTCATTGTAAAACATGTCAGTGTAGAGCCCTGGACAGGTATTCTGTACAATTGCACTACTAGATTTTAAAATGTTTAGTAATTGTCTGTGAAAATGTTGTTCAGGGAATTGTTTGTGGAAAAGTTCCCCAATTGTGACCAAACTGAAATTGGCATTTTAGACATATATTTGTGAACATTACACTTAGTGTATAATGTTTTATCAAGCACTTGGAAGTGCAGGTACTGTTTTACTCTACTAGTAGATAATACAAATATCTATGTCTGGGTTTTGTTTATGGGTGTGAAATGATAAATGTAGATTTTGAATATTTATGTATCAAACCCAACCTTCTATGCAAGCGTATAGCTGCTGAAATGTAATTTAAAATGTAATTGGATAATGATAAATTAATAACACTTTGTATTTCAATTTTATATAGAATTTTGGCAGCTATATGCTTCCATAACCCTCTAAGTAGGGTCGCTTAATTATTCAGATTAGTTAGGAACTAAACATTAATTTCTAATCTGATGTAGTATTGCAACATGGCCCATGTTGATAGTATTGCAATAGGCTTAATACTGTGGGTACAATCATGTCTATTATCATATCATTATTATAATTTGTATATTATTATTATATACTGTAGGTCTTTTACTCTTATTTCTTCCTATTCTGACAATCAATACTAGCTAGTAGTAGCTACATGCACTAACTAACATCCAATGTTGATATTGGATACAAACCATTTTACAAACATCTTCATATTGATGATACGCATTGATGTTGCATAGTATTCTATTAGCTACACTTACATGAATGCACATGTGCTGTAAGGGTTCTGAGTCAAAGTATCAGCACAGAAATATCTTAAGTTCTGTTTCGAGTTAACGCTGGTTGAATTATTTATTAGGGGGAGATAAGGTAGAATGTGTCTTCTCTAGTCAGTGCAAACAGAGTAGTCTTTTGTTTCCGTATACAATTGATGTTGTTTTGTTTGTTTGTGTGAAAAAACTATGATTTCTATATTTTGTCTATTGCTGTAGTAGACAATTATATATTTTTTCTAAAGTATCCAAATAAAGTTTACATTTTGATGAACTTTAAGCAAACCTGTGTCCTCCAGTATTTTTGTCAAATCATTACTATCTGAAGCCAAAATATAGCAGCATTGGTCTTGAACAACTAGACTAGAATCACTACTCTCGACGGGTCTGACCTAGAGTATGTGGACAACTACAAATACCTAGGTGTCTGGTTAGACTGTAAACTCTCCTTCCAGACTCACATTAAGCATATCCAATCCAAAGTTAAATCTAGAATCGGCTTCCTATTTCGCAAAAACAAAGCCTCCTTCACTCATGCTGCCAAACATGCCCTCGTAAAACTGACTATCCTACCGATCCTTTACTTCTGCGATGTCATTTACAAAATAGCCTCCAACACTCTACTCAGCAAATTGGATGTAGTCTATCACAGTGCCATCCGTTTTGTCACCAAAGCCCCATATACTACCCACCACTGTGACCTGTACGCTCTTGTTGGCTGGTCCTCACTACATATTCGTCGCCAAACCCACTGGCTCCAGGCCATCTATAAATCACTGCTAGGCAAATCCCTGCCTTATCTTAGCTCATTGGTCACCATAGCAACACCCACCCGTAGTATGCGCTCCAGCAGGTATATCTCACTGGTCATCCCCAAAGCCAACACCTCCTTTGGCCGCCATTCCTTCCAGTTCTCTGCTGCCATTGACTGGAACGAACTGCAAAAATCTCTGAAGCTGGAGACTCTTATCTCCCTCGCTAACTTTAAGCATCAGTTGTCAGAGCACCTTACCGATCACTGCACCTGTACACAGCCCATCTGAAATTAGCCCACCCAACAACCTCATCCCCATATTGTTATTTATTTTGCTCATTTGCACCCCAGTATCTCTATTTGCACATAATCTCTTGCACATCTATCATTCCAGTGTTAATACTAATTGTAATTATTTTGCACTATGGCCTATTTATTGCCTTACCTCCATAGCTTGCTACATTTGCACACATTGTATACAGTGGGGGAAAAAGTATTTAGTCAGCCACCAATTGTGCAAGTTCTCCCACTTAAAAAGATGAGAGAGGCCTGTAATTTTCATCATAGGTACACGTCAACTATGACAGACAAATTGAGATTTTTTTTTCTAGAAAATCACATTGTAGGATTTTTAATGAATTTATTTGCAAATTATGGTGGAAAATAAGTATTTGGTCACCTACAAACAAGCAAGATTTCTGGCTCTCACAGACCTGTAACTTCTTCTTTAAGAGGCTCCTCTGTCCTCCACTCGTTACCTGTATTAATGGCACCTGTTTGAACTTGTTATCAGTATAAAAGACACCTGTCCACAACCTCAAACAGTCACACTCCAAACTCCACTATGGCCAAGACCAAAGAGCTGTCAAAGGACACCAGAAACAAAATTGTAGACCTGCACCAGGCTGGGAAGACTGAATCTGCAATAGGTAAGCAGCTTGGTTTGAATAAATCAACTGTGGGAGCAATTATTAGGAAATGGAAGACATACAAGACCACTGATAATCTCCCTCGATCTGGGGCTCCACGCAAGATCTCACCCCGTGGGGTCAAAATGATCACAAGAACGGTGAGCAAAAATCCCAGAACCACACGGGGGGACCTAGTGAATGACCTGCAGAGAGCTGGGACCAAAGTAACAAAGCCTACCATCAGTAACACACTACGCCGCCAGGGACTCAAATCCTGCTGTGCCAGACGTGTCCCCCTGCTTAAGCCAGTACATGTCCAGGCCCGTCTGAAGTTTGCTAGAGTGCATTTGGATGATCCAGAAGAGGATTGGGAGAATGTCATATGGTCAGATGAAACCAAAATATAACTTTTTGGTAAAAACTCAACTCGTCGTGTTTGGAGGACAAAGAATGCTGAGTTGCATCCAAAGAACACCATACCTACTGTGAAGCATGGGGGTGGAAACATCATGCTTTGGGGCTGTTTTTCTGCAAAGGGACCAGGACGACTGATCCGTGTAAAGGAAAGAATGAATGGGGCCATGTATCGTGAGATTTTGAGTGAAAACCTCCTTCCATCAGGAAGGGCATTGAAGATGAAACGTAGCTGGGTTTTTCAGCATGACAATGATCCCAAACACACCGCCCGGGCAACGAAGGAGTGGCTTCGTAAGAAGCATTTCAAGGTCCTGGAGTGGCCTAGCCAGTCTCCAGATCTCAACCCCATAGAAAATCTTTGGAGGGAGTTGAAAGTCTGTGTTGCCCAGCGACAGCCCCAAAACATCACTGCTTTAGAGGAGATCTGCATGGAGGAATGGGCCAAAATACCAGCAACAGTGTGTGAAAACCTTGTGAAGACTTACAGAAAACGTTTGACCTGTGTCATTGCCAACAAAGGGTATATAACAAAGTATTGAGAAACTTTTGTTATTGACCAAATACTTATTTTCCACCATAATTTGCAAATAAATTCATTAAAAATCCTACAATGTGATTTTCTGGATTTTGTTTTTCTCAATTTGTCTGTCATAGTTGACGTGTACCTATGATGAAAATTACAGGCCTCTCTCATCTTTTTAAGTGGGAGAACTTGCACAATTGGTGGCTGACTAAATACTTTTTTCCCCCACTGTATATATTTTCTGTTGTATTTTTGACTTTATGTTTTGTTTTACCCCATATGTAACTCTGTGTTGTTGTTTTTATCGCACTGCTTTGCTTTATCTTGGCCAGGTCGCAGTTGTAAATGAGAACTTGTTCTCAACTGGCTTACCTGGTTAAATAAAGGTGAAATAAAAAATAAAAAACAACAGC